TAGAAGTGATTTTTATCTGAATTGTTTCTGGAAGTGTTTTAATCTCATATTGAAAACCACTTCAAAGTTAAGATGTGACCAGCTGATGACATACAATTTCTTTTTGCTTCAGTAATTGCAATACTAGTTCTCCATAAGAACTACCACGAATTATCCAGTTAAACATATCCCACAAAAACTATGGACTGCAACAAACCAACATATCCTTGGAAAGGCCAACCAATGGAAGCAAGGATCCAATATTCATTGAGGCAGGATCAAAACATGCTAATATGATCAAATTGGATTCAGTTATACAACCAGACCCTATTGATTCCACCAATACCATTTAACGAGTTCAGAGACTCAACATCTGCAACTTTCCCCTGCATGTCACACTACGCAAAATCTCTAATATATGAACAACACAAGTGATGACTTGATATATACACATGTTTTTATCCATCATTCTTATGTCGTTTGAGCCTCATTTCTTGTATCTTAGGCAGATTTCACGCTAGGTTGTTCTCGTTTGTGTTATTTCAGGTCCTAGTACGTGATTGGAGGTTTGGGAGCGAGTTTCGGGTCGATTGGACGAAAGTTGTACGTCTGGCGAGGAGCTGAGGAATCCACACGGCCAGACCTAGCAGCCACACGGTCCTGTGGTGTGACCATGTGGAATCCCATTACGCGGCAAACCACACTGGCCGTGTGGAAATTCCACGGAGCTCACACGGTCAGACTGGAAATCCACATGGCCGTGTGCTTCTGGCCGTGCAGCGTGCCTGAAGACCACTAATTGTAGGGGTGGGCAACGGGAAACGGGTATTTGGGTATACCTGTACCCGTCCCATTTTTTTAGGGTTACGGGTACCCAAATACCCGTAATTTATTTTATGGAATGGGACTTGGGATCAAGAATCGCTACTTTGGGTACCCGCGGGTTACCCGTTAATACCCGTTTGGATATTACGGGTACCCGTTATACCCATTAATCCAAAAGCCTAAAATCCAATCCCACGATACAAGCAATCAAAACCTATGTAACCTAATCAACAATACAATAAATTGCACCAGAGATCGCATAAATTGTCTCAACCATTAACCATTAGTCTTACTTCATACTCATCCACTGTTTTCTTCCTTAAGCTACTGTCTGTGTCCTTTACTTGTGTTTGTGAGGAAGACACTGATGTACTTGGCTCAAGAATCTTACTTTAGTTTCAACAATAGAGAACATGGGTCAACGTGGTCATTTCTATTACATGGCCGCAAGGACTCGATGGCACCAGTGTGAAGATAGGTTCCATGTTTTCTAGAGCTTCGATTGACGGGTATTTACGGGTAATATGGGTGCCCGTTATCCGTCCCGTACGGGTAATGGGTACCCGTTAACCCTTACGGGTTTGGGACATGGGATAGAGATTGCTCTCCAAATGGGATTGGGTACCCGTTTCAAACGGGACGGGTATCCCGTCCCGTCCCGTTGCCCACCCCTAACTAATTGAAACGCGGCGTTTTCACATCCACACGGGTAGACTGGAAAGTCACACGGTCGTATGGCCTGGCCGTGTGGTCGGGAAATTCTGGGTTTTAACCCAATTTCGAGCCTAAGGAGAGGGAATGCATTTATCAAGAGCAAAAACAGAGCCCTAGAGAGAAAAATTGCGAAGAACACCCTCTAAGAGTGGTTTTGGAGCTGGGTTTCATCAATCAAGCTTGGATATCATCCTTGGAGTGAAGATCACCATCCCAGAGCAGATTCTTCCCATCTTAATGAGTATGACTGCTTTGTTTGCTGTTTTCCTCTCTCTCTCTATGGAGTAGAACCCTCTCTCACTTGGGTATGAAGAACCCTAGTTCTATGTGTTAGGGATCATTGTTGTAACGGCGTTTGGATTGTGATATTGTTTGATTATAATCTATTGAAGTGTTTTGATTGAGTCAATTGAAGCCTGATCATCTTTTATTGATTTCTGCTGCAACCTGAGATAGATAGAATCTGATTAGGTTGTTAGAGCTTCTTCAATCGTTAGTAGTGCATCGATTATACAAGAGTTAGTCGATTCACTGCTTTGTACTGGAATTCAGTTCCAGTAGTGGAATTCTGTGTTCATAGCCTCAGCTTTCCATCCCGGTGAAGACTAGTCGCCTGCCGAGTAGTTTGACTGAGAGGGCTTGGTCAGCTTAAGAGATTCCAAGCTACTGTCGGATCTTCCGCAATATAATCAACAGTAAAGCAACCAATAGTAATTACAACTGTGATCTAAATAAGGAGCTAGGGGGACTCATTCCCGAGTGACTCTTCCCTTGCTTTAGAAAACCGAACAATTTCCTGCTTTCTTACTGCTTTTAGTTAAAACCACAATCACTCGACGTAGTTTGCTAGATAATAAATAGTCACGGAGTAGGCAGTAGATCTAGACCCCGAGTTGACAAATAGAGCTTGCCACTTACTGCATTTACGGACTGCGATTACACTTGGTCGTATTTTGGTGTTGTGTTTTAGCGTGTCAACAAGCAATCTTCACTTAAGGCGGAAGGGAAACCATGACTATGCATAATTCCCTTCTAAGACCTTGTACTTTTCAGTTCGGAGAGCTACCCCACAACCAATTCCTACTCAATGCAGAAGGGCAACCATGACTAAGCATGATTCCCTTATAAGACATTATAATTCATTTTGACAATCACCACAATAAATTTGTACTCAAGGCAGATGGCAACCATGACTATGCATCATTCTCATCTATGACCTTATAATTTTCAATTCAAAGAACCATCAAAACCGATTTATACTCAAGGCAAAATGGCAATTATGACTAAGCATAATTCCCATATAGGACCTTGTAAGTTTTAGTACAGGGAACCGCCACAACTAGTCCTTACTTAAGACAGAAGGGCAATTATGACATGATAATTCCCTTCTAGGACCTTGAATATTCAATTCAGAGAACCGCCACAACTAATTTTTATTCAAGGCAAAAGGACAACCATGACTAAGCATAATTACCATCTAGGCCCTTGTAAGTTTTAGTACGAGGAACTGCCACAACCAGTCTTTACTTAAGGCAGAAGGGCAATTATGCAGGATAATTCCCTTCTAGGACATTACAAATAAAATGAGCTCATATTAATGCTAGCTCACACTATTTGTGATATGTTCCGAATATGCCGAACAACCACATAACAACGCTGCCTTCCATAAACTCGGTCAAATCTAGCAGGATTCTAACGACTTCACTAAGCATTGAAGTGTTAAGAAATCCAACAAATGTTTCCTAAGCAAAATATTTCCTTCAAATTCATCCAAATATACAGGTCACACATAAAATCTCCCCAAATGAACTTTACATAAGGGAGACAAGGACTTGCAATGTTTTAATTCGCAAAGCTTCCAATATTGGCTTAGTGATGGCAACATACAAAATGTGAAACATAACTAATATTAATGCTCAAGTAGATAATTGCAACTCAGAAGGTTAAGATATGCAAAGAGTGGCCACTAGACTGTTGGTTGAGTCGAGCATGAGACTCCGGCGTCGATTCCCTCTTCTTCTCCGATCAGTTGAGATTCTGCTTAACCCTAAATTCGATCTTGACAAGAACAAGTGAGGGAAGTGGAATAAAAAGGAAAAACGAAACGATGGAAAGGGTAAAACGACTTCCCTTTCAAGCTCACCAAAACGACAACGAATTCAGAACTGAAACTTGAAGTGGGTTGCGCTTAATTTGTTCTCAAACTGTCGATTTTAAGTTGGCCCGGATTACTTGCATGAAACTCTGCGTTTTACAAACTCAGTTTCTTTCTTCTCACCCTATGCAAATCGATCAAGACCTGTTCTGCAAGAAGAACTTGAACTTGCACTAAATCAAGAGCACAAATGCAAACTGAAAATAAGATGCAGCAGAATAAAAACACAAATGAACACAGACACAATATTTTTACGTGGTAACCGGTGTTAGCTGATTAATGAACCTAACACCGACTAATCCACGGTAGGAGACTCTCCTCTTGAGATCTCCTACTTAATCACTATGATTTGTTTTCTTCTTACAACTTTGGTGAACTCTGAATCAGCTCCCTGCTGATCGACCAGACTACTGATCTCTAGTGATTCAAACTCCCCATTCAATCACACTTGTTTTTCTATGCAAATCTCCCCAACTTGCTTTCACAATTACACCAAAAGACCTTTACTCTTTTTAGCTCTCTCTTTTGTTTTCAATCGTTCAGAAAAACTACAGCACAATTGATCCCTCACATAGACTATATACTTCTGTTTGAACTCAGAGCTGTTGAGAATGAATTGACCAGGTGAAGGTACGTGTTTGATTCTTTCCCTTTTTGCTTGATCCTGATTTGCCTGATTGGTCGACTTATTTTGTGTGCCTCTCAAGAGATGATGTGATCTGCTGCTCCTTCTCTCAACATTCTCCCCCTAAGCATGTCATTTGCTCCAAAGCGCTGATTCCATGAATTTCCTGCACATCTTAGCAAACGGTTGGTGCAGCCTGTTCTAAACCAAAAAATATATATTTACAGTGACTGCACTTTACTAGACCAAAAGAGAAGTTCATTTTATTTGAGGCCAAGTTGTAGAGAACAAGACACATTTACCACTACATCGAGACAAACTGAAAACCAACCTACAAGGCTACCCTAACCAGATTTTTTATAAAACTTCTTATGAACTCCCCCTAAACGAGTTACTCCCCCTAAAATGATTTTCCACTCAGAAATCGTATTTTGGCGGAGATTCATAGTCAGATATACCCTCTGCTTCTTCCTTCAGAGTGTTTGAGAACTCAGACTCCTTTGCCATCTTGATTCGAGTATAATGAAATTCCAAACTGGCTAGTTCCTTGCGTTTGACGGCAGAAATTTCTCTGTCAAGAACTACAGATGCAACCTCCAAGAGTGCAGGAACTAATTGCTTGGAATCATCAGCAGATTCTCCCCCTGAGCAAATGACAGGCTTTCTCCTACCAACCTGAGCGTCAACACGAGTAAGAATGTGTTAAGCACGCAGATCTTTGCGGACATCACAGACTAGCATTTTATCACGAAGATCAATTCCTACGCGAGACAGCAGACGAGTGACTTGGGGGCCAAAAGGAAGAGGACCAGAGTAATTCTCGTCGCCATAGTTGATCATATGAGCAAACATAAGCGCAGAGAAATTGAGTTTGACACCATCACGAGCATTCTCCATGATCCATGCATCAGCAGGATGGACAAGGTCAGCAGAGAAACCACTACGAGGAAGCAGAATCCGTGTGATAAAGAAATGGAGCACTTTGAACTGATCTGCCAGACGTCCTGCAGAGAGTATGGAAGGGTAGTATTTCCCAATATCATGGGTGAGGGACTCCATAGCAGAACTGAATTCAAATCTGATGTCTGCAAAGTCATCATTGGTGGCAGCAGAAGATCCGAGACAAGGAAGGTCAAGAGTCTCGGCCAAAAGAGACGTTGTGACCTTGATTTCATGGTTATACACCACAGTAGTGAAAAAGGAGGGACTAGACCCAGGACCACGCTTCAAGCTAGCGTAGAACATTTTGACACCTTTAGGACACTGACTGAAACGTTGATTCTCAAAGAGAGAACCCCAGCCAAGCTTGTGAATGAGATCTGGAATGTCAAGATCATACTTTCTGAAGGCAGAAGGTTGAATGGGAAAGGATGGATAGAATGGGCGATTGTGAAAGTGTTTAAGATACCTAAAGTATCGAGAGGGCTTGTAGAACCCTTGGTTGTTGAAGGTGGCAGCAGAATGGAGTTGAGGATTGTTTGGAGCCATGGCTGAGTAATATGGAATCAGTTTGAGGGATTTTGAGATGATGATGCGAAGACAGGAGTTGATGGTGAGTATATATAGAGTATGAACCGGGTAGAAAAGGAAGGGACTTTTGATTAAGGAAGGTGACGATTGGGAAAGACAGATAAGGTAACCTAAGATGAGGGTGGAATATCCCACTGATTTTATGGGATTTCAGATATTTCTTCCAACGAGAAGAGACCAAGTTCTCTCCTAATAGAAAGAAATTTATCAGCACCCAAGGGCTTGGTAAATATATCAGCCCACTGAAAATCAGTCCCAATAAACTCAAGATGTATTTTCCCTTCCTGGACTAGATCTCTAATGAAATGATATCTAACCTCGATATGTTTAGTCCTAGAATGTTGGATCGGGTTTTTGGTCATGTTGATAGCACTCGTGTTATCACACATAACTGGAAGAGATTCAAACTCAAGGCCATAGTCCTTGAGTTGATATTTCATCCAAATGAGTTGTGTGCAGCATAGGCCAGCTGCAACATATTCTGCCTCTGCAGTAGACAGAGCAACAGAGCTTTGTTTCTTGCTAGACCAGGCTATGAGAGAGGAACCGAGAAAATGACAGGCACCTGAGGTGATTTTTCTGTCCACAAAGCATCCAGCATAATCTGAGTCACTATAGCTTATCAATTCTAAGCTAGAGGTACTTGAATACCAGAGTCCTAGACTAGGGGTTCCAGCAAGATATCGAAAGATCCGCTTGACAGCAGAAAGATGGCTTTCCTTAGGGTTACTTTGAAAACGGGCACAAACACATCCACTGTACATGATATCAGGTCTGCTTGTTGTTAAGTAAAGCAAGGAATCAATCATACCTCTGTACATTCTATTGTCTATACTCTTTCCTGACTCATCTTTGGTGAGTTTAATCGAGGACCCCATAGATGTAGAAATAGATTTTAGATTATTAAAGTTGAACCTCTTAAGCATGTTATTGAGGTATTTGGTTTGACTGATAAAAATCCCATCCTTGGTTTGTTTAATCTGCAGCCCAAAAAGAAGTTTAGTTCACCCATAAGACTCATTTCAAACCCTCCTTTCATTGTGTCTGCAAAGTCTCTACACATTTGCTCACAGGATGATCCAAAGATGATATCATCTACATACACTTGCATAAGCAAGATATCCTTACCCTTGTTCTTAATGAACAGAGTTTTATCAACCTGTCCCCTATGGAATCCATCATCAATTAGGAACTGACTTAACTTATCATACAAAGCTCGAGGAATGTTTAAGCCCATACAAAGCCTTATTCAATTTATACACATAATCTGGGTGTTCAGGACTTTCAAAACTAGGGGGTTGCTCTACATATACCTCTTCTTTTAAATCTCCATTCAGAAAAGCACTTCTTACATCCATTTGATATAATTTAAAACCCTTTGAGGCAGCATAAGCACACAACAATCTTATTGCTTCTAATCTAGCTACTGGTGCAAAAGTTTCATCAAAATCTATACCCTCTTCTTGATTGTACCCCTGAGTAACCAGCCTCGCTTTATTTCTTATAATAATCCCAATTTCATCAGATTTGTTTCTATAGACCCATTTTGTTCCAATTATAGTTCTGTTTTTAGGTCTTGGAACCAAATCCCATACTTTTGTTCGTTCAAACTGATGCATCTCTTCATGCATAGCAGCATTCCAGTATTCATCCTCTAATGCTTCTTCAATAGTCCTAGGTTCTATTAAGGAAATGAAGGCAGTATGTTCAGGATAGGATTTGGATCGAGTGACTATACCTTGATTTAACTCCCCTATCACAAGAGAGGGTGGGTGACGTTTCTGAATGTGAGGAGGAGCCTCTGGATGATGCACCTTCTCACTTGCTTCTTCCTGAGCAGATTCCAAATTGATTGATGCTGTCTCAGCTCCCTTTGATTGACTCAGACTTAGTCCAAAGTCATTGTCATCTTCCAAAACCTCTGCACACTTACTTACAGATTCATCAAATACCACATTAATGGACTCCTCAACTTTGAGGGTCCTTTTATTATAAATTATGTATGCCTTACTGTTTATGGAGTAGCCAAGAAAGATTGCCTCATCGGATTTAGCATCGAATTTCCCTAACTGATCCTTAGTGTTTAAAATGAAACACTTGCAACCAAAGGGATGAAAATATCCTATGTTTGGCTTCCTGTTTTTCCACAGCTCATAGGGTGTCTTATTTAGTTTAGATCTGATTAAGGCCCTGTTAATTATGTAACAAGTTGTATTAATGGCTTCACCCCTGAATTGTTTAGGTACTCCATAATCATTAAGCATAGTTCTTCCAATTTCAATTAATGTTCTGTTCTTTCTTTCAACAACACCGTTTTGTTGAGGTGTTCTTGGGGCAGAGAAGTTGTGAGAAATCCCTTTTTCATTACAAAACAGTTCAAATTGTTCAGACACAAACTCTCCACCATGATCACTTCTAATGCTGACTATGCAAGTCTGTTTTTCGTTTTCTACTCAAGCAACAAAATGCTTAAATTCTGTCAAAGCTTCATCTTTACTTGCTAAGAAAAGCACCCAAGTGTATATAGAAAAGTCATCGACAATAACAAATGCATAATATTTTCCACCTAGACTTTTAATATTACTGGGTCCAAAAAGATCAAGGTGAAGCAGTTCTAGGGGTCTGTTTGTAGAGATGACTGCCTTGGTTTTAAAAGAAGTTCGAGTATGCTACCCTTTACACAGGCATCACAAAAGAATTCCTTTTGCTATGAATTTTTGGAATTCCTCTAACTAGGTCTAGATTTACTAGTTTTGATAGAGTACTGACACTCACATGACCTAAACTACGATGCCATTCAACTTGATCATTTTTATCAACAGTAACCAAACAGGTTTCATTAAAGGCAGATTTGTCATTTAGATCAATTGTAAACAGTTTTCCTTTCTGTTTTCCAGTAAACAGTATTTTTCCGCTTGATATTTCTTCGACATAACACCTGTCTGGTTCAAAAATTACCCTATTTGTGTTTCCACACATCTTACTCATTGAAATCAAGTTATGTTTGAGATCTTTAACTAACATGACATTATTGATTGATGGTATAGTTCCTACTTGCCCTTTTCCTAAAGTTGTCACCGAAGAAAACTTTACCTTTCTTTCATAGGACCAATTTTGAGAAAAGCTTTTTATCCCCAGTCATATGATGTGAGCATCCACTATCAAGTATCCAAACACTGTCTGCCATGCTTACTTGGAGACAGGTATGCAAAACAACGGATTTCATTTAATCTTAGGTACCCAAATTAATTTGGTTACCCTTCCTATCTGAAATTCTTTTGAGCATGTTTTACTTGAATGACCAAACTCATGACAGGAAGCAGTTGACATTGTTTACTCGATTTTCTTTTGCTAACCGTTTTCTGCATTCAGCAATGTGATGACCAGTCTTATGACAATAAAAGCACTCAGATTTTCTGACTTTCCTCAGTGTTCTATGACTCTTCTTTCCCTTGCTTTATAAGAGATACCTTGCCTTTTCAGCCTTTAAGTTCTCAATTTCAGTCTCAGTTGTAGTAACTCTCTCTCTCTCTTAATCTATCATTTTTCAGTAGTTGCAAGCATGAGTTTGTTTTCTACTTCTTCCTTTTCAGCTTTTAACAATAAGACATCTTCTAGTATTTTTTCATACCTTGATTTTATTAAACCATGCTTTTGTTTTACTTTTATGAACTCATTTTGAATATCCATTATTGTTTCATCTAACTGATCACTTTCACTATATGAGTCAGAGTAATAGGATTTCAGATTTACCTCATTTTCTTCGATGTCACTCTCCTCAATTGCCATATAGGCCTCCTGCTTAGAGTCATCTTCATCTTCCACACTGCAGCTCCAGGTTGCATCAAATGCCCGTTCTTTCTTCATCAATGGAAACTCTGCCTTGACATGCCCAGACTTCCCGCATTTGAAACATCCAGACTGCGTTGACATTCTTTCTGAGGTTGATCCATCTCTTCTGTTCTTTGGTCCGAATCTGCTGAATCGGCTGAACTCCCTTTCGTTGTCTCCATCTTTTGACTTGTTCTTAAAACTTCCTCATCTTTTCTCTTCTTATTCGAAGCAGCTTGGCTACATGCTTACTGAGCATAGCTAGCTCATCATCTTCCATATCTTCCAAACACTCCAGATCATCTTCTTGAGTGAATGCTTTGAAAGCAATTCCTTTCTTTTCTTTTCTGGGTTCTTCAATATCCTCCCTCTTCATTTTTTCTTCATTGGTAACTAAGGATCCAATAAGCTCATCTAGGCTTAATTTGGTAAGGTCCTTAGACTCTTCAATGGTTGTGACTTTAGGAGTCCAACGCTTTGGAAGTTCCCAAAGAACTTTCCTTACCAGATCAGCACTACTGTATTCCACTTTCAGATTCCTCAAGCTGTTCACGATTGTAGTGAACCGTTCATTCATATCCTTTATTGATTCCTCTGGCTTCATGACGAATGACTCGAATTCCTGCTTGAGACTGTTGATTCTGGAAATCTTTACGTGCGTCGTTCCTTCGTGCGCAATCTGTAGCTTGTCCCAGATTTCCTTTGCAGTCTTGCATTCAGTTACTTTGTGATATTCTTCGGGACCTAGCACGCAATACATCAGATTTTTGGCCTTCGAATTCATTTGAAAATTCTTCTTATCCATCTCGGTCCACTTTCCACGAGCTTCTTTTACCTCAAGAGGTCCGTCCATCACTATATCCCACAAATCAGGATCTGTCGAGCAGATGAACAGTTCCATTCTATTTCTCTAGTATCCATAGTGAACCGCTTTGTACCTTGGTGGTCGAGTTTGAGAGAATCCGTCCGCCATGAAAATTCCGCTCGCCGAATTTGAACCCATCTTCTCCGCAGGTAGTTAAGCCCTTGCTGCTGAAGCCGGGCTCTGATACCACGTGTTCGTTGAGTCGAGCGCAAGACTCCGGCGTCGATTCCCTCTTCTTCTCTGATCAATTGAGATTCTGCTTAACCCTAAATTCAATCTGAAAAGAACAAGTGAGGGAAGTGGAATATACAGGAAAATCAAAACGATGGAAAGGGTAAAACGATTTCCCTTTCAAGCTCACCAAAACGACAACGAATTCAAAACTGAAACTTGAAGTGGGCTGGGCTTAATTTGTTCTCAAACTGTCGATTTTAAGTTGGCCCGGATTACTTGCACGAAACTCTGCATTTTACAAACTCAGTTTCTTTCTTCTCACCCTGTGCAAATCGATCAAGACCTGTTCTGCAAGAAGAACTTGAACTTTCACTAAATCAAGAGCACAAATGCAAACTGAAAATACGATGCAGCATAATAAAAACACAAATGAACACAGACACAATATTTTTACGTGGTATCCGGTGTTAGGTGATTAATGAACCTAACACCGACTAATCCATGGTAGGAGACTCTCCTCTTGAGATCTCATACTTAATCACTATGATTTGTTTTCTTCTTACAAACTTTGGCGAACTTTGAATCAGCTCCCTGCTGATCGACCAGACTACTGATCTCTAGTGATTCAAACTCCCCTTTCAATCACCCTTGTTTTTCCCTGCAAATCTCCCATACTTGCTTTCACGATTACATCAAAAGACCTTTACTCTTTCTAGCTCTCTCTTTTGTTTTCAATCGTTCGGAAAAACTACAGCACAACTGATCCCTCACACAGATTATATACTTTTGTTTGAACTCAGAGCCGTTGAGAATGAATTGGCCTGGTGAAGGTAAGTGTTTGATTCTTTCCCTTTCTGCTTGATCCTGATTTGCCTGATTGGTCGACTTTCCTTGTGTGCCTCTCAAGAGATGATGTGATCTGCTGCTCCTTCTCTCAACATAGACATTATTCACCTCCACAACTCCTTTTCGGATGCTTCTTTAATGGAATTTCAGTCAACTGACAAGCTATAAATAGCAGATTAAAAGCACAGCTGATGGGACAGAAATAAGAAAACTAACATGGAGTGTCATTGTTCCATCCTAGAACCAACCAAAATTAGCATGGCTCATAAGCAACAAACCAACTTGAAATTCTGGAACCAACTGTCGATAACCCACAGTTTGGATATCAGACAAGAAAATAGTAGCCACACATTTGTATCAAAGAACCCCTTTTCAACCCACTAAGCCCATTTCATCAAGATCAACAAGACAAATAAGGGAACTAGCCCTTCAACCAAGAAGGAAACGCGTAGAAATTAAACCCACGAGACTCAAGCAAAATGGAAAATAAGAGGAGGTGACAAGGAGAAGATGATAAAATAAGTACAAGTTAACCACCCGGAAACCTTAAAGACCTTCAATGGTCGTTCGCTGGGGAATTCCATCGCACCGGAGTCACGGACAGAGAGAAGCCCCACCCCGTCACTGGACCCTAACAAAGCCACAACCTGACAACAATAGACAAACAGCGACATCACAGCAACCAGAAACCTAACTCTACTAGAACGGCGAAGCCCTAGGCTCTGACGCTTCTCGTCTCTGTCATAGTAAAAAATTGTCGGGAAACCTTTCTAATTTATAGAGAGACCATCATGGTGAGTCAGTTGGCAAATTATTACCGTTCGAAAGAGGCCATTAGCGTAAAATATGGACTAGAGTCGGTTCCCCCAATTATTTTGAAATTTTACATGGTTAAAGTTTGACTCGTTCGACGTGTGTGTGAGTGTAAGAAAACGTTTGACATGTGCGAGTAATTCACAATTGGGATTTTGTTTCATAATGGTGGGGGCAGATAATGGGTATCGAGATCCAAGATATAAACATAAACTCGTGTTCCATATTCGTCAGTCCCAGTCCACCAACGATGAAACTTGGCACGGTTGTCTCCGGTCTCCACCCGTTCACTATCGTTGCGACAACGTTTCGGTCCACATCCGTAAAGATTGGCATGGGTTGATTCGATCCAGAATAGGATCGACGTGAGATAGGACCATACCAGAAGCAACAAAAAAAGAGGATGAGAATCGAACCAAAAGCATGTTTGGCTCATTTGGTTTGATTCGGTCCATCGAAATTCAATTTCATTCCTTCTTTCATACTTAAAATAATTCATAGGACAAAAATCAAATTGAAATATACACAATCTAATTCAATTCTATCAAAATATTGATTAAATGTGATTTGAATTGGTGCGGACGAAATCGATGCCCAACCCTTACACACCGAATTAATTCGGATCAACTCGACATTTGGACATAATTGAAAAAAATTAAACGCAATGCACACTCGCTTCCGATAACATCAATGTAAAATACTCTTATCACATAATTTGCCGATATGGTGTCCCGGTCAATTCGTTACCCGTGATTATGTAGCGGAAGGAATGTGAACAAATAGCCCATATAATTTTCCGGCAAAATACACTTCCATAGCCATAACTTTACACTTTGTGACAAATATAGCCAACTTTTGAAAAATACACTGAATTAGCCATTCCATCCATTAATGTAACGAAACTATAACGACGACTGATTGGACAAATGGTTGTTAGTGGCTTGATCTACGTGGCATGCCAGGGTGGAATTTAAATTCAATTATATTTACTAAGAAAACCCTACTTTACCAAATATTCTTTTCCTCTTCTCCATCTGCCCCTTCCCATTCCTCTCTTATCCTCTTCGCCGAAACACCATTCCACCTCAGCCCATCGTCAATCAATTCACCAATCGATCCTGTCCAGTTCGTCTCCGTCATCCGCTCTTCAAACTCCTCTCTGCGACGCTCGATATGTAGAGTCGGGAACGAGAAACATCGATCCTCTAAAGCCCTTCGTCGAAACTGTTTTCCTCTGTTGACGTCGGGCGAAAGCGAGCGGTGGGTAAGTAGATGGCGACGAGGGGGTCGTTCTTGGGGGAGGAACCAAAGGCGACCACTTTCGAGAGCACCAGTGGGGTTTCAAAGAGCTACTTCCCTGGATGATTCCGTCGCCCTCAAAATCCCCAACGCTGTTTGACCCGATTTTTTTTTGGCGAATCCCTAGGGTTCATAGAACTCCACATTCGGGAAATCCAATCTCGGAACCCAGAAGAACCCCAAATCAGTTTCATCCAAAACCCCCTAAATTGAATAATCCCTGGCGACTCCACAATCGAAAAAAAATCAGAACGAAACCTATCCGTCGCGCGCAGATCTGGTCGTCGAGGTCTTCAGCAGGAGTCACGAACCCGACGATTTCGTTCCCGGCAACAACGCGGTGTTCTTCCTGTCGGAGCACCAACAAGGATTCCTCTGTTTTTGCTTCTTCAACAACGACTTCCACCTTCAGAATCGAAGTCCCATTTCGATTGGTGTTTTCCCCCGAATTCATATGTACTTGCCGAAGTTCAAGCCGGGCAGGTAAATGGAAGAATCAGTGTACTCGTCGAAATTCAATTTGACAGTGTACATGGAAGAGAGAACGAAGGGTGACCAGTCCCATTCATTCCGGCGAAACACGATGACGGCGTGAGTACTACAGAGTACACACCTAGAAGAAGAAGGTAACAATTTCAGCAGCAGCCCGGAGAAATTAGTGAATTATCGAAAGAAGAAAGGGAAAGAAGAAAGAAGAAGATGTGTGACTTTTCATTTTCCTTTGTTTATTTATTTATTTGTTTTTGTTTTTCAATTTCCTCCAAAAAGATCTTTTTAATTTTTTAATAATAAACAATATTTTTAATTTGACATGGCATGACAGTTCGACTAAGAGTTGACGTGGAAGCTGACGAGGCGCCATCTCAACTTGTTGTTGACGAACGTTAACGGCCTCTCTAACTCCGTTAATATTTCTAACGGAAATGGCTATAATTGTCAAGGTAATTTTAAACTTGTGACTATTTCTATGTATTTTTTAAAAGTTGGATATACTTGTCACAAAGTGTAAAATTATGTCTATGGAATTGTATTTTAGTTGACCGTTTAATATATTAAACAAACTCAATACCATTGATCATTGTGCCAAACGGAAAAGCAAACCCTAAAGTCCTAAACCAAAACACAATAGGCACTTATTCGGAAGAAGTAGTCAAGTTCTGCATGCCATCACTATCTCGGAATTCTGGGATGGCAGAGTCAAAACCAGCTAGCTATCGATCGCCTCCCGCCGCCGTGGCGGCCACCATGAACTACGCAGAGTTGCCGGAGGAGATCCTCGACAAGATATTTCGGCACCACTTGGTGACGCTTTCCCAGATCATAAGCTTCTTCCAAGTCTGTCAATCCTGGAGATCCGCCGCTCTCCGATCAATCGACCGCCGCGATGGACCCTGCTTTCCAGGACTCCTCACATCATCGAAATCCGCCGCCTCCCAATCCCCTGTCGAAGCGTATCGCTCCGTCAAGCCCTTTGACTTCCTGTCCCTCGACATACTCTCTCTTCCCACTCGCTCGCCGTCGCCGGCCCCACCGCGCATCACGCTCCCTTACTTCCCTTCCCCATCCAAAATCTCCGACGACGTCCACCGCCACCGCTACACCCAACTCCTCCACCGCGAAATACTAACCCCCGCCCCCTCCGCCGGCAAAACCTACTGCTTGGGCTCGAAAGACGGGTGGATCCTCCGCACCCTCCCCTGCCGAGGAAGGCGCCACCGCCGGCCGCTCGAGCTCTACCTGCTCAACCCGATCACCGGCGTCTCCATCCCTCTCCCTCCTCTCCCAACCGCTTCCTCCCCTCTAACCCTCAAAGGCTTCATCTCTTCTCCCCCTGACGACCAGGCCGAATGTCACGTGTTTGTGGTCCACCAGGACCACTGGGCCCAAAGCGGGGTGGCCTGGTGCAAGGTGGGCCCGGGCTCGGGCTCAGGCTCGGGCCCAGGTTGGGAGTTCATCCAGCCCGCAGTGAACTCCCGCTTATCTCACGCGTGGCCGAAGGCCGCCTGCTTCTCCGACGACGGCAAGCTTTATGTCCTGAACTACTTCAGTGTTTACGTTGTCGACCTCCTCTCAATAATAACCACCTCTTACGGTTTGCTGAGTCCCACCATGGAATTCTCATTCCCTTTATCTCTCCGCGCATTCGGTCCGGTGACGGCACCGTACCTTCGGTTGTGCCACGTCAACGGCCACCTCCACCTCGTCACCCGTCACTGTGACGCCGATTCGGTCACGTTTCGGGTGTACAAGATGGTAATGTTGGATGCTAGGAACAATAATTATGGTTGGAAGGAAGTGAGGAGTTTTGATGGGGATGCTGTGTTCATCGGGTCACACCAATCGTTTTCGCTTCCCGCCGCCGGCGCCGGGGATGGTACTGCTGTTAATGGAGTCGTTGGGGATCGGATATATTTCGTGACGAGCTGTCGCGTGTCTGGGATTGATTCAGCTGGTTGGAGTGGTGCTTTCGATCTTGTCGATCAGAAGTTCGAGAGGTTCGATCTCCATGATCAGACAATGTTCCACACGTTTTGGTTCCTTACTATGCCCTGGTAAGTATGTAAAGGTTTCTGTCAAACACTACCTAGTTTGCTCGGCACTGAAGCGAAGTGTACCGAACTCTCGTTCATGGATATATGTACAAACTGATCTGATAATGTACGTGCAGGGATATTTCTAAGTTACACGACAAACACAGCCATGCGAAGAATGCGAGGAAACAGGAGCGCTTGGTACGAACGAAGAACGACAAGAAGAAGAATGACGATGATGATGATGGTGATGGTGGTGAAGTTACCGGTCCCTGCCACAACAGATTCGAAGCTTTACTGTTGGCTAGTGATGATGAAACAGAGGACAATGAGAGATGAGGATGAAGACATGACGGTCCGGAGGAGATGGAGATGAAGACATGCTAGGGTTTCTGCAGAAGCCATCATCAGCTTACATTCTGCAGTACTGTCACGGCCGGACTCCATTGCGTGGGCTACTCCAATGGGGTTAATTTCATATGTTTATTCTATACATAACATACATTCGGATTCGAGGTTGGTAAAAAGTGTCTCTCAAAGAATGTTATTCCCCAATAAATCTTTCAATGGTTTGGTGATTTTTTTTTTTTTTTAATATCAAGTCATGCTTATATGATATACATGAGGTGATGCACAAAACGTTACATAGTACGACTTTAAGCTCCTGCGATCATGACAGAAGCCATACTTGGTCGCTCCGCTAGCTAGCTAGCTACGTTGATGCATATAACTTTGAACGAAACAGAGGTCCTTCATTCCTCTGTTTTCGCAGTTACTGGGTTTTCTTCCTAGAAACAGAGGCCCTGAATTCCTCTCCCCCCTCATCACCCAATAATTATTACTAGAAAATTGGCCCGCGCTCTGCAGCGGGTACTCAAAAATAAATCTACCAATTAGGAGTGAAAAATAATAATTTTAAATCAAGGTGAATGTCGTTTGTGGTCGAAAATGAATCATGTATTAACTTGAAGCGGGTGCGAATAGGACCATAACCAATTGTTTAATGTCTTTAGCCTTCATGCACTTGTATATGATTTCGAAGTAGATAGTTGGATTTCCAATTATACTACATGGTTTTGGATGGAGTAATTGAATGTATGATAATTGAGCGTGATATTCCCTAATCTTATGGAGAGGCAAGAAAATAATTTTATGATGAAGAATAAATGAAACTTTACAATGTGTGCTATGAATATTATTATCTTCCACGATAAATATTGTTATCGAATCATAATAATGGTTCAATCCTTGAAATTTCTAAAAGTATTTTGAAATAGTGCTATGTTCGAATTGAGTAACTCACAATTTCACATATAGTTTCCTATATGGATTATAGTAGACTGATAAAATAATGACTTATTCAGAATTTTTTTTTAATTTTGACAATGAATCTTCTTTGAAGCACACTATCTAATTATTATGTAATTACATGATCCTTCCTTATCACAAACATAGTAACATCATACATTTTATCCACTATGTGAATTTTAAGTTATACATGCTTTTTACTAACACCCAAACATACCAAGCTTGACGAAATAATTGAAATGAGTGGGACCTATAAGAATGTGGTTGGGTATATGATGGATTTTAACAAATCAAACAAATGATAAAAAGAGATCATGAGGCCAATAGAGATGAACATGTGACATTTTTTCATTCGCAGGGAGATTATGAGGCCAAGAGTCTATCGGAGGAAAACAGAGTGGACAATGATCCGGGAGGATTGGCGGCTAGTCCAAAGTTATTTGCAGGGGATTTATGGTGAAATCTCCAATTAGAAGATGGGAGGAGTAGCGGCTGTAGAAAATCCGGCGAGAGGATCCAACTTGGCCAATCTCCAATGAATCGTCAGAGGGAAGAAACAGGATGGCTAGGCATGGTGACTCGCCAACTTGGCCAATCGCCAGAAAATCGTCGCGGGGAAGATAGGGGGAAAGAACAGTTTATGGGGAATAAAAGGGGTCTATAAATCTTAGGAGTCGTTTGGAAGTTGTGAATGTTAAATAGTTGCATTGTAATGAATCACAATAATGTAAAATATATGTATTGGTACAATAGATGCATTTCAATAATACATTGTTTGGTTGATGAGAATCTACATGATGTATTGACTTGCATAAAGTTACTTTATAGGAAGATGTCACATTTACCCTCAACTTTTAGCATAAGACAAAAACTAATAGGGATATAGATGAAAAGAAAAGGTAGACACAAATCTAAATAAACAATCACAACAATCTCAACTTTTAGTTGAGATTATATAATACATAATTTTATGTTTGGTGGGACCTACCTAAAACAATACATGTATTGTTTTATACTTTGGTACTTCCAAACATTGTATTGTGCACAATTCATGTATTCAATAAACACAAGTCTAACAATCACAACCTCTTAGTGTGAGCTCGCAAATAAGGTTGACGTAGGTGCGGTCCGTGCGGAGAGGGGTGGGGCGGCAGAACAGTGAGTTCTTGGGAAAACATCAACATGAAAAGGGTCGGCCAATAGCCAAAGTCCAAAGAGATCGTCCAAGGGGAAGAAAACGGGGAGGGAAAAATGAAAAGTTGAGATTATACTCGCCATATAATTATACTAACTAATAATAATTACAATCAACCTGGGTACCTAGGAGGTCGACCAAAAAGAAGTGGGAATTCATTTAATTATACTAATAATTACAATCAACCTGGGTACCTAGGTGGTCGACCAAAAAGAAGTGGGAATTCTGAACTGAAAAGCTTCTCCAAAGCTGGGAAGAAAGACAAGAGAAGGTGGGTCAAGCTTTTGGCTTGCTAGTGGTCAATTTTTAATCATGGAGGAAAAATGAAAAGAACAAGTCTTTGTAAAACAAATTTGATGTTGACTTCGATGGACAAAAAAGACACGACGTAAAAGAGGGGGCGATCCATCTTTTTCTACTCAATCACCTCCTAATTGATGGTAGCAATTCAACTGTGTGAAGCAAAGTTATCCAATAGAAAAGTTCCAGGATTCGGACACCAAAACTTTCGGTTAGTTCTATAACTTGAGCCACTGATAGAGATTCAAGCATAATACATGAAGAGCTTGCTCAAATTTGAAGCTCAAGAATGAGCTTTGCTCGAGGGGACATGTAAGCTATGAAGGCTACTCAGCACCTCTTCATCCATCAAACAGAAAGGAAAACAGCAAAACTCCTCCACTAACCAAACAATACCAATGACAAAACATGGAAGTTACACTAATGAGCTACAACCAAGATTCACATAGGCAAAGATGCTTACCTTACAAAGCTGCTGCATAATTAAAACTCATTTTGACTTTTAACTAAAGATCCCATCTTTCCTCCAAAATGGCTGTCGTTACTGTACCTATACTGGCATTTTCAATACAAAAGGTGAACTATGGTATAAAGGAAGAAAGTGAGGGGAAAATAATTCATACATACTAAACACAAGTGTTTATTTCAAACATACACTAATGTCATATACTAATTACATCACAAGCTGTGGGCTTGGTTCCAATTTCCCTACCTACCTCCAATCTTCTTCCACGTCAACTACTCTGGATACCTTCCCGAGCAACGATCAATTCCTCGATGAAGTCAGCATCACCACCGTCAATAGGCAATGTGACCTCATCCTCCGCCGTGAACTGATACTGCTCCCCAATTGCTCTCAACAGCTGGTACACCTCGAACATTGAAGGCCTCTCTTTGGGACCTTCCACCACACAGTTGCAAGCAACTTTCAGTACCTGGAAAACCTCCTTCTCGACTCCCTTCCCAAGTAGAGACTGATCAATGGCGTCATGGAGTTGCCCTTTCGCTGATAGCTCAGCTACCCAGTCAACCAAATTTCCTCTGAAACCCTCTGGGGCTCTGCTCACATGTGTAGGCTTCTCACCGGTCACCAACTCGAGGAGGACAATCCCAAAACTATACACATCTCCCTTAGGGGTTGCCCTCAGGGTTCGAGCATACTCAGGTGCTACATAACCCAGGTCACCAAACTCTCCATTCACAAACGTGCTCAAATGGGTATCGATTGGATTCATCAATCTCGCAAGACCAAAATCAGATATCCTTGGCTCGAACTTGGCATCCAACATGATGCATTTAGAACTGATGTTTCGGTGCAGGATGCGTGGATTGCAATTATGATGGAGCCAGGCGAATCCCTTTGCAGCCCTTATTCCAATTTTCAGCCTAAGAGTCCATTCCATTGGTTTTCTGTCTTCATCCTCAGTATGCAAGTAGTTGTACAAGCTACCATTCTCCATATTCTCATATACAACAAGCCTTTCTTTGCTGGCTATGCAGAATCCTAAAAGTGGGAGCAGGTTGGGATGCTTCACACTCCCCAGAGTAGCCATTTCTGACAAAAATTCTTTCTCGGAGCGCTGAGAATCCTGTAACCTCTTAACCATGAGCGCGGTCCCATCTTCGAGAAGTGCTTTGTACATAGTCCCGGTTCTCCCAGAACCAATGATGTTGTCCTTGTGGAAGTTATTAGTTGCTTTCAACAGGTCATTCAGTTTCATCTTGGAGACGGATTTCTCAAACATGGAAACCTGAAGGAAATGCCCAAACTATCTGTCAGTCGGTAAGAAGAAAATAACTAGAAGAAATGGCAAAAGAGAACAAAAATCACATTGTATTCTCTGATATATATAATGATATTCTCACGAGGTTCCAAGAAATATGTGTTAGTACAACTTGCCTTTGTGCCTTTGATTCCCTTTAAGCTCCTCGCCCATTTATTTCCTTCAGGATCATCATCCTTCTTACTCTTAATAACACCCGCCTTACGGAGATAGAGCAACAAACAAATCACCACCCCGATCGCTACCACGGTTGCCCCGGCAACAGCACCCCCTATGATAGCTCCGGCGTGTGACTTCTTTGTGACACCAGAGCATGGTTCCAAAGGCGGCCCACAAAGCCCTGGATTATTTGCATAACTATCTGCATTAATGTTGGTGGAGGCATTTCTAAACCTCGGGACAGGACCAGACAGTTGGTTGTTGGCAACACTAAACATCCTGAGCCGGTTCAAATTGCCAATCTCTCCAGGTATCTGACCAGTTAGCTGGTTATGGTCCAGTTTCAGCTCATTCAAATAACTGCAAAACGAAAGGTTTGCCGGAATTGAACCCGATAACTTGTTTCCCGAGAGGTCAAGACTGGTTACAAAGTTAACAATTGAAGCTATATTGTCAGGGATAGGTCCTGAAAGCTCGTTGCTCGAGAGATCGAGGCCTGTTATGCTTGTGCAGTTCTTAAGGCCACGTGGGAACTCGCCTTTGAGACCCATGTCCGAGAGGCGAATGTTCAAGACCCTGTTCTCATCTGGATGCCAGCAGTCTACTCCAGTGAACTTGCAGATGAAGCCTTCGGTATTGTTGTTGAAGTTCCATGTCGAACCAAGATAATTGAAAGGGTCCTGGAGAGACTCCTTTATGCTCCTCAAGCAATCAATATCAGACTGAACTCCATGGCTAAACTTAACACTCAATAGCAACCACGCCAAGACCCCAATACAAAGCTCGATAATTCGACTTTTGATCATCGTGTTGAAAGAGGAAAACAAATAAGTTTTGGTCAGAGAAGCTGCTCAACCATCCATTTCTCAGCTTCTCGGATCCATAAGTACCACCACAAACACTCCAACCCTCCAATCAAACAATCATACAAAACCCCTGAAGCAAATTCAGCATGGAAAGATGGAAAAGTTAAGCAAGTTCGGGATGAACATTTAAAGGGATCAAATCTAATCCACGAGCATAGAGGCAACAGTACTAACTCCAGAAATGAAATTCACCATGATCGATGACCTAAAGTGTCTACAGAATTCAGTAGAAGGATAAAACGAAGACCCACCTGAGCTATGAAGAACCCCGAGCAGGGAATCCGATCCAAGAACAAAACTTTGATGGAGGAACTCTGCAATGGTCGTGTTAATTTGCCAAAGAAGACGCCGGCAGCCGTTTAGAGAAGGAGGTGTGGAAAATTCTAAGTCACGACTGAAACTGAAAAGGTAGAAGAAAAGAAGAGGAAATGGATGTATGTATGGGCGATGGGTGTGAAAGGGAAGAAAGAATGGGAAGGATTCAGAAGAGTGAAGAACCATTCAAAATCTTCATCGGGTCAAAGGAATGACAATAGTTGCCGCTGGCTGTGGATTTTTGGTGGGGTTTATGGCCAATTGTTTTTTGGCCGAAGACTGGACTGCTGAGAGGCGCGATGACTTTTGTGAGGGCCTTGCTTGACTTCATCTCCCCACCATCTTTCCCAATTTTTCCATTTACACTCTCCAAATAAAATATTAGAAAATTAAAAATTATTAACAATGAATTTTGCATAAAATCTATCTCAACTTTCAATACAATCTTCATTTATATTTAATTAAAATACAACATTAGAAATAAAATGCCAAATCATCATATTTAAATATAACGTTTAACTTCAAAGTCAACAAATAATATAAACATCTAAATTTAAATAAAATACAAATTACAAATAATATGAAATCATTATATAGATACAATTTTTCATTAAAGTTGAAATTATATATATATATATATATATATATATATGGCAAACTGGGGTGCCTTCTATGGTACCCCGGGTGAAATCCGGGGTACCACATACCTTGAGTATGGAAACAGTATCTAGACCTCGAATTAGCAGGATTTTTGGGTATGATACTATACCCTAACCCTTAATGAGTGAACCCTAGGTCCTAATTATCTAAATCATAATCTATAAACCCTAAGATGGTGCATTCCTTTTTGTGTCTATATTTGGACGAATCATAACCGTCGATTATTGTTTCTAATTAAATTGATCTTTGAGTACAAGATTGGGAGAATTAAGACCTAGATTTTGATCTTTAAGGGTTAGATTATAGTATCATGTCCGAAAGATCGGCCAATTCAAGGTCTAGATAGTGTTTTCATACTCAAGATAAGCGGTACCCCGGATTTTACCCAGGGTACCATAGAACTCGCTGGCAAACTGGTTACTTAACTTAATTATGTTAAGGAAATGCTAACGGTAACTAGGGATGGCAACAAAATCCGAACCCACGGGTATCCACCCGATCCAACCCGTGTTGACGGATTTTGGGTCGGGTTCGAGTTTAAACCCGCTACACTATTCATCGGGTCGGGTTGGGTTTGGGTTTAGGTAAACCCGCCCCATGGGTAACCGCCCACACACATATAATTACTTTCCCGGTATATTTAATATTCTAAATAATATATCTTCGTTAAACAACTAATATTCTTTATGTTTGTGGAGACATGTATAATTTGTTCTTTCTAATTATTTAGAATGAAGTTGATATTATCAAGTGGAGAGTGAAGAAACTTAGTTGACGAGGAAGAAGCTTTCAATTAATCTTATTGTTTATAGATGCTTATCTTTAATTTTGAACAATTTGTATTGATCATTTGCGGTTTGCTTGTATGCTCTAGATCGGTGTTTTTTGTATGATTAATTTGTATGAGAAAATTGATGTTAAACTTTTATTTTGAAAGAAACTTGTTATTGTAAATTTTTTACCACGAAAACCCATGGGTACCCATGAACCCGCGGATACCTAGCGGGTTGGGTTGGGTTTGAATTTTTCAAACCCAACGGGTTTTACCCCTGGTTTTTTAGCGGACAAACCCATGGGTTTGGGTTTGGGTTTGACAAAACCCGCCCCATCCCAACCCATTGCCATCCCTATTGGTAACTTTGTGAGTTTAAACAAAAAAATCACTTTGTCACGTTTCATGTAAATCGTGTTAATCAATGATTTTAAGATGGATGTTTGTTTAAAGAACGTTTTAGTTAGATGATAACGTGAGATACTTTATTGGATCATTTCGGTAATGTGAATAGTTTACTCGGCGTGTTCCATTCCATCGATACATTAGATGAAAAATGGAGTAATTAATGTCTTAGCAAGTCATCTGATTAAAGATGACATTTTGAATCTAATTCTTTCACTAAAAAAATTCACTAATTTAATCCATTAAAATCTGACTCGTTTAATCCAAATCTAGTTGAATTGGTGGTTTTATGAACTAGAATTACAGATATTTGGAAAATTGTAGTTTAGTACCTATATTTTGGTTATTTATATTTCAATATCTTTATTATATTTTTAATGGAAAAAATATTTGAACAATTTTATAATGCCATTTTAGTATTTTTAGATTTTACAAGCAAGAAGATCAAACTATATTCCACGAATGGGAGCACAGATGACCTAAAATTTTCAAATTTTGCATAGTGGTACAGTATGCGGATGTCATTTGTATCCATGAATCCAATCAATCATTCCATTTTATTTAATTCTTAAATTCATGAATCTAATTCACCATTCTATGAGTCTAATCCATGTGCCTCCTCTGCATGTAATGGTGGCAAGTATTACTCTGTGTACTTGTTGTCCAATGAAAAAGGCATAAAAGCATAAACCCAGAGTGTTACCCCTGGCAGGAGTATTTGTATTTAAAGAATAAGAAAAAAAATTCAAACTTTGAGAATTTCAGGTCTAAGTTGATTTTTATAGTTAGGAGCAAGTATTTCTGTGTGATATAAGTTAACTTTTATACTTAGGTGTTACTGGAAAAAATTCAAACTCGAGATCTTCAAGTTCAAAATTAACGATATTATTACTAAGCCAAATTCTTATTCGCTCGATTAGGATAGGTTCTAAGTTAGATGGTCAGTTGGACCATAATATTGGTGGGTTTGAGTCTTACCCCTTGGCAATGGAGTTTGGACCGGTTCTTATTACATTTTGCCATATGATATTTATATCAGTATTCCTTAGGTTAGTATCACTAATTTCTAATTAATCAAATTCACAGTCTACAACCATATCTTGCCCATTCCAAAATCCTTTGGTAAGGTAAAGGCAAATCGAGTCCAAACAAATCCACACACCCTTTTGTAGTTGAACCCGTAATTCCAATGGGATCAATCGAACCTTTATCTAATTATAATTGAATTGAATGAATTAGTTATAAACAATGTGAAATGTTTCTACTTTTTCCCATTGTTTGACTTATTGCAGGCTTCTGTTGCCGTCCTCCCAATAATTTCCGGGGAACAATGAATGGCTTCTGATTTGAATAATAATTGATTATAGGATGATAAAATAACTCATCAAAATGGGGTATTAAATCGATTTTGAAATCGATTTTCTCGAAAAAATATGTGTAACCAATAAAGAGGATGATGAATTAGTTGGTGCGGATTTTTTTAACCCAATAAAGAGGATGATGAATTTGGTATGTGTTTGCTATATTTGAGGTATTCGCCCCAAACTCATCTAAATATGTGTAACAATTTGGTTTAGGCTTTGTAGCTTCAACACTTTGATAATTATCTCTTAAGTATGATAATTATCTCTTAGACAAAATTGTTTACTCATTTGCCCTCACTTTTGTAAACATCGGCATTCTAAGAAAAATTAACTTTAAATCAACAACTTTATATAAGATTAGCTAGGGATGGTGCAGACTACAGAGTGATTTCCACTAAATCGTGGGATTTTTTCAATAATAGCACCTATTAAAAAAAAGTACAAAAATAGCATTCAGCCTACAATATTTACAAAAATGGCACCATTTTTATCAAACCGCACTTTGGAGGTGCGTTAGTCCACATCAGACTAGAAACCGCACTTTGGAGGTTCCAGTTGCTCTTGAAGTGTCGTATGCACCACCTTTGGGACCACTTCCAGGCAGGATCCAAACCTAAGATGGCAGCTCTAATCCCGGCGTGCCGATCAGAGATTATTGTCAGGTTCGTCCTCCTAGTGACGTGGAGCTGAATTTCCCGGAAAAACCATCCATAGATATCAATATTCTCTCCCTCAACAATGGCGAAGGCTAACAAAAAGACTTGTTTGTTTGCATCCGCCCCACTGGCAATCAGTAGAGTGCCCTTGTACTTGTCGGTAAGGAATGTACCATCCACTTGGATCATAGGGACACAGAAGCCAAAACCATCAATAGATGGCTTGAATGCCCAAAAAAGTCGTCTGAAATGGCGTTTGTTACCTGGCTTTGGTGTTTGTACCTCTTCATCTTGGTATCGAGGGGAGAAAACAGTGTCAGGGTTAGACGCCTCTAGTGCCAAAATCAACCTGGGAAGGAATGCATATGATTCTTCCCAATCACCATATACCACGGCCAGAGCTTTCTGCTTTCCATGCCACGCCTTCTTATAGTTAATCATATAACCATAACGACTTGCAATGTCAGCGATTATGACTTTCACCTTCAGGTCAGGATCTTGCTCAATTAGATGCTTGATAGCCGCAGCAACCACCCTGGATTTCAACTTTCGATGGCTTTGGGATGTTATGGATGACCCACATGTGTGTGTGTTCACCGCACGGGATATGACCCAATGGCCGTGTTGTGGGTCGATTTTAGGGTTAGGGATTTTAGATGAACTGTAAGAGAAATGAGAATGATGATACGAAGAAGATAATCGAACATAAGAGGTTTTGTTCTTCTTCTCGTATTACTTTGGGCCACAACTAACTTAAGGCCCAATAGACAGACCAGAAGACCGGCCCAGTTCAAGACTCGGCCTTTTCACAGTTCTGCCTTAGAACCTTTATTATGAAGCAGAGACGAAAGCAGAGTATCAATGGAGATAAGGAAAAACAGAGTCGAGAGAAGGAACACAGCGATTTAACGAGGTTCACCAAGAATGGCTACGTCCTCGTCCCGGTAATAGTCCACACTACTACCGAGAGACACTATATTTTCTGATATATAGACACAGGTACAAAGCAAAATTAAAACGCAAACCCAACAGAGTTCAACCCAAACTCTGTTGCTTCCCGCCACTCTCACAGAACCTATACCTCTGGAGAAAACCCTCTTTTGATCTTGACAAACTAGCCCTTTACCGCTGTTCTCAGAGAATTACAAAAGGTAATTACGAAACCCACAACCCATCTAATTTATACTGCACTTATAGCTAGCCGTTGAAGAAAGGAGCCGTTGCTTGTTCGTTGATCAATCAGAGGGTTACCAAAAATGCAGACTTTCCTTGAAAGGTTAGCTCTGATCTCGCGCAACAATCTCCCCCTAGATCAGAGCTTGCAAATGATGTAAGTCCTGCAGAGAAAGGTAAGCCACAAAAACAAGCAATCCACAAACACAGCAGTAAACCAGAGAAACCAAAGAGCATAGCAAAAAGAAACTATCATCCAGCAACCAGGTCCAGCTA